AGACCAGTTTCGATCCTAACCGCGGCTTCTTCAAACTCACCAAGGACAACATGTTGTATCCGAATCCCACGGTGCAGTTGCTAGTTGACGATTTTCCGAAACATTATTACTTTATTGGCAGGATCTTGGGGAAGGCATTGTATGAGAATCTGCTAGTGGAGTTGCCGTTCGCTGAGTTTTTTTTGTCGAAGATCGTTGGACGCCAGTCGGACGTAGACGTGCATCATCTAGCCTCCCTTGATCCCATCATGTATCGCAGCCTTCTCTATCTAAAGAGTTACAAAGGCGACGTGGCGGATCTAGGATTAGACTTCACCGTGCTCAGCGACGAGCTTGGCGAGAGACGGGTCGACGAATTGAAACCGAGCGGCGCCAACATCCCTGTGACAAGTCACAATCGCATTGAGTACATTCATCTGATGGCCGATTATAAACTGAATAAGCAGATACGTGCGCAGTGTTTCGCGTTCAAGCAAGGAATCGGCAGTGTGGTACCACTTGACTGGTTACAAATGTTCAATAACAAGGAGCTACAAGTACTCATCTCGGGCGCGCAAATTCCCGTGGACGTGAATGACTTGATGTTACACACGAATTATACCGGCGGATACGCGCCCGACCATCCGACTATCACTGCCTTCTGGAAGGTCGTCAACGAGTTCAACGATCAGCAGAAGGGCCAACTACTAAAGTTCGTTACTAGTTGTAGTCGCCCTCCTCTCCTGGGATTCAAGGTGCGTTGTAAATATATGTGCGATTTTACAATTCGGTATCTCGAAAACTAGATTACAAAAATCTCAACCTAGAATCTAATTAACAACAATCGGTATTCTAATCATTACGTTATATTTGTAATATTTGTTTCTCCATTGTTTGTTCAACCCTTGAAGTATTTTTGTTCACAGGAACTCGATCCACCATTCTGCATCCAGCATGCCGGTTCTGTGGATCGTTTGCCGACTTCGAGTACCTGTATGAACTTGCTGAAACTTCCCGAGTTTCCGGATGAGAAAATCCTACGCGAGAAACTCCTGTATGCGATACAGGCCGGCGCGGGCTTTGAGCTTAGTTAGAGATTTTTTCATTTCACTTCTATTGACTCCTATTTGATCCAAATGTGTAAATACAATGTGTATAACTTTGTGAGTGTATAAGATGTAATGAGGAGAAAATGCCATGAAAAATTTGTTCATGCTGTATTTTACGTGAATTAACGTTAGGATTTCCTACAAAAATTCTCATGGGGGAACGTGGCGAAAATATTAATATTATATAACAGGAGGGGCCAACTATATATACACCAGGCATGCCAATTTGAACTCCGGAACCAAGACAAAAGTCATTGACGCAAAAAAATTCAATGTGAGTAACATTTCAGAGAAGAACTGAAATCTTAAAATGTTGATAAGCGTCACTTAAACGCATATCAACCAGTCAATATTTTCTGTGAAATCTCTACACTGAATTTTTTGCATCGATGGCTTTACGTTTTGGCTCCGGAACTCAAATTGGACAGGCCTGATATACACTAAGCAAAAGTACCTACCAATGGAGATTATCATCGATATCTTGACTTTGATGCGCCGTTTGTAAAGAAAACATGAAACGTTTGTAGTATGCATGAGTGTGTATAATATACATCGGAGAATGTACGGATATTTTTTTGGTTTCAATTTTTCGAGTCCTTGGCCTACAATTGTATAAATTATGTATATTTTTATTGTTTTATATTCGCCATGTGATGTGATTTTGTCACAACGACTACTACTTCAATATATGTGAGAATAGATGTATGTATTTATGAGGTATATTGTTAAGCTGTGTAAATAAAATACCTGAAAGCGTTGAAAATATTTATCGATATTATTTTTAAAAAACATTTAGAAACTTATATTAATTGATCATTTTATTTGCAATTAAATATTAATTATTCTATAATACATTTTGTATTGATTTTAGTAATATAATTTGTAAATATACTTGTGCTGATCTTTAATTATTATATATTAAATAATAGGGAGTGTATATAAATAATAAGATAAAGATTAAAATACGTACTTAAATATTTAAATAAAATAATTTAAATAATGTTCATAAATTTATACCATTAATAATAGAGATTGAGACATTATCAATAATAGAGAATGAAGTATTACTTTTCTCAATATACTAATTATTTCATTTAAATCAATATTTTTATTAAAACTTATATCCATGCAAGTTTTTTGA